TAATGCTGCAATAAATGCTGGATTCCAGGGTCACTTGAGAACTGTAGAGTACAGAGAAAGTAAAACTGAAGTACTGTTGCATTATATATTATAAATAAACACAAGTTCATCAATAATCCTCTGCTTTGTGGATCATTATGCATTTTCCCTTCATTTTGAGGGACTTACTTAATTTTATTTTTTAATTAGCATACATTAATAATACATGGGGATTTCATTGTGATAAGATAATCATTTGTACAATATTTCTTCAACAGTAGCATTGTATTTCTAAAATATTAATAACATATTTATTTATACTTCTTTTGCTATTTTGACTGTATTTCTCATCTCTTCCTAGAAAATTATCATTTAAGTACTCATCTAACACTGAGTTATCCTGTTAGGAAGATTTTATCACCCACCAACCAAACCTCATTAGCAAAATGTTACTGTTGGAAATAAAGACATTTTCTTCACAAAAGGAAACAAAGCAAATGAAATGCCATGTGCAGAGATCAAGATAGCTTTTATATGATGCACAATGCACAGGACAACACTGATAACTAGAAATTTTCTGGGTGCATATTGTTCTTAAACCATGGTTGAGAGAATGTCTGAGAGTCTATCAATCTTGTGAACTGAAGGACAATGGAAATCCAAATGACAATCTTTACTTTCTTGTGACGTCTGCAGAAAGATACTTATCAGCACATTCACCAATATAATTAGAATGGAAATGAGAAGGCACTCATTAAGGTTGTCATTCAAATTTATAAGCTAAATAAATAACTTAGACATATTGGATGTGAAATTCACACTCTGAAATTAATTCTTCTAATCATCCAGTGGTTTCATGTGCAGCATAATCCTTCTTTGGTGAATAAAATTATCATGAATCCATCACATTTTTCCTTTCCCCCATCTCTTTAATATTTTAAAGCTATTTCTACTAGCATAAATATATACTGAATATAGGAAATTGTATTCTACATCTTCAATTAAACTTTTTTTTGCTGGCATCCATCTCTGCTACACCAATGGTATTCTAGTTATCAAGCAAGAGGCAAGAATATCTGAAGTATTTATTAAACACCCAACAGAGTCAGGGCATTATATCTCAAAATCTCATTTGATTTTTCTAACTCTTTTGTAGCATGCTGTTCCTTAGTATGACTGTTTGAAACTGTCATTCTCAGTATGGTTGTTGTTTCTGACTGCACTTTAATTGTTGAGCATATATTTTTTCTTTTATGTGAGGTACAATGGTCCCCTACAAGAGGGACCTTCAACTTGTTTGTTTATTTTATTCCTGGCCTGTGAACTCTGGAGTGACCTCTCTCACTCCTTGTATTAACTAGTATTCTTTATTCAGTTTTCTTGTCTGCTTGTCCCACAAACTTATCTTAGAAATCCATATTCTTTCATAATATCATTATCAAGTTCAAATCCCCAAATTCACTTCAAATTTCTTTCTATCAGGGTAGAGACCATGGATAACATAACAAGGCTCACACCTGAATACAACCAGTCTCAATGGGGCACAGCCTGTTATTGGAAAACTAGTAACAGCCCCTTCTTATGATGATCAGAGGGAAAATCAAACAATTTGCAGTGGAAGAAAACACCATCTCTAAACTTTATAGTCCAAAATGTACTTACAGTGGAAGAAAACACTTTCTCTAACCTTTATAGTCTAAACTGTACTGTATTTGACACTGGATAAAAGAAAATGAGGATTAGAAATATGCACAGGCAAGTAACCTAAAACAATGAGAAACAAAAATATAGCAAGATTTTTTCCAGTGGTACTTTCAGCATGTAGTGAGTTAAAGTATCTAGGTTAACATCATGTCACTCAAAATTACCTGTGAAAATCGAGTGACTCAAAGTTTTTGGGGATGTGGATTCAGAACATTGAGAGAGAAGGCAAAAAAGGAGCAAGGTGCTCAGTGAAAAATTCAGAAACAGGAATCAGAGAAACAGAGGCATCAGCATAGTTAGGATAGATATGTGTTGGAGAGTTTTGGCTTCTAAAGGGTCAACTCCTTGTGTGGAACTATCACAATGAAACCCATTTGTCCAATCAATGTACACTAATAAAAAGAGAGAACAATTAAATACAGGGCACTCATGGAGATGTTCCAGAAGCTGCTAAATCTGAGGAAACTGCACTCAGGCACAGGCTAGGTGGCTTAGGACTATTGCTCTCATACCAAGTAAGTTGCAGCCTTCTGTGGGAGTCTCTGCTTCTCACGGAGTTGAATGACATAACACAATAAATGCTACAGACCATGCCTACATCCTATCTTCCCAAACACAATTGGAACCTCTTTTGGTCAAGCCCAACCCAGAAATTTACCAGGAACTCTGTAAAGTGGCTTTGAGCCTTAGAAAATTGAGTGTGTGAAGTTACCAAACTGGAATCAAACACATTTTACTCACCTGTGATTTTGACAGCTGCTTCTACTTTCTTTCTGAAGTGAGAACTATAAACTCACACTTTCATAAATAAAGATGAAATTATCCCTCACACCATGGCAAACGTGGCAAATCCTGTTTACCACAGTGGATATTAAAAGACCAGTATGGTTGAATTTGTGTGTGTTTGTGTGTGTGTGTTATCCCTCTTACCACCTTTAAATTAAACATTGCAAGTTAATTTATCTCCTTTAATTAAATTAAGCTCTTTTTCTTGGGTTTAATATTAACAATCGCTTGTTAGGTTTGGGATACATGGGGCAAAAATGATAATTTTACCATTAATCAGTATATACATAGATAGAAAGAGAGGGATGGATAATAGATGATAGATGGATAGATAGATGATAGGTAGATAGATGATAGATAGATAGATAGATAGATGATAGATAGATAGATAGATACTGACATCCATAAAACACAGGGTTTGGGGACAAGGAAAGTGGAGCTGGAATAATACAATAAAGAGAAATTTTAAAAATTAGCACAAAAATTTCAGAAGACATAATCGAAAACAAATAAAAACCTAAGTTCATATACATCATCAACCACATTAAGTCAGGACTGACAAAATTAATTCAGAAAAAGGTAGTGTGGGAGGTCTTCCCTTGACTTGTAACAGGAACAGAACTTGGGCAAATTTACTCAGACCAAATCTCAGGTGGGATTCTTGGGAACCAGGTGAGAGGTGGATGATCCCAGAACTCCTCACTCAAGGGGGCCTTTCTTAGAAGGCATCCTTCCTCCAGGTATCTATACATTCAAAAAGCCAGCTACATGTAGTAAGCACTTAGCGAAAAGTCCATTATGAAATGGTCTTATGGCATGTCCAATTAGAAAATTAATGTAAAGTCTAAATAAGAATATTCAAGTTAATGACGGTATTACAAAAGGAAAAGCAAAGTGAATCCTAAACAGAAAGAAAGAAAAGAAGAAATAGCACTGAAACCAGTCAAAACAGAAGAATATAGTGTGGACCAAAATTTGGAGTTAACATAAGATCCAAAGTCACTTCCTTATAAAGAAAATAAATGCATATAACTCTGTAGATGGCACCACAGCTGAATAGGCTCACATAATATCTAAATTCAGCTGCTCAAAAACACCAGGTGAGAATCTGTAAATAGATATTTCTTCCTTTTCTATTATCATATTAATGTTGTGCTAGGGGTACATTGTGACATTTACAAAATTTCTTATAACATATCATGGTTGATTTCACTTCTCCATCATTCTCCTTTATCTCCCTCTTCCATTCTTCAAATAGTTTCAGCAGATTTCAATTTTCTGTTTTCATCCATAAGTACACAGTGTTCACAATATTCATCTCATACACACTTTCCTTATGTAAACAGACTTAAAACACGATGTTATGATTATTCACGCCAACAATTCTGAAACTTAAGGAGATGTGGTCATACCCTACAGACTCAACTTACCATGGAAACTATGACACTAGTAGAAATTCATTAGTGTTCAGTGATCCCTGTGATGAAATAGAGTGGGGGGAGGAATTGTTCCATGAATCCCGAGGAAGTCTTCAGTGCTGCAGGATGGCAGACAAAGCAAATTAAAACATATCTGAACACCTCCTAAGGACAAAACAAGAAGCACATTCAGTTAGTTTAATTATGGATTTACTATTTCCTTTGTAGCAAAATATAACAGACATAGTGAGGAAAGGAACATCAGAAGACTCCTCCATGAACCAATGGAAGTCAAACTACACAAAAAAATTATAACATTGAGCCTGGTGTGGGCTGGGGGTTCACAAATTTGAGACCAACTGGAACAGAGGTACTGAGACTCTGTCTTACAAACAAACCAGAAGCAAGAATGACAAAAGGATGGCTCAAGTAGTAGAGATACTCAGATAGCATGGAAGGCACTGGGACTGAGGCCTTGTATTCATTCTGCACTGCTGAAAAGTATCTTAAAACTGATTCCAGAACATGTAAAATGACTCATGTAAGTGATCAAGAGAATTATTCAAAAGATTCAAATCATTTCAAATATCACAAGCTTCATTTTTTGATGACTATTATCTCTGTTAGATTATGAGAGCAGTAATATGTGATTACCTTAATAAATACATCATGTGATGTGAGAAAATTCAACCTATATGAATGAGAAAAAGTGGTTTTCTTTCTGCAGCAAGGAAATTTAAATTTTCCCATCAATTTAACAGAAATAAAACAAATAAAATGACAAGGATGAAGTACCATGGTGACAGAGATATTCTGTTTAGTATGAATCAATGCAACAACAATCTACTCTTTATACAACAGCTGTCAGCATAATAAAAATTATGTCTAACAAAAGGAAGATGAGCAAGTTGGTGATCCAGAAAAAAAGCAAAGAGGGAGAACCCCAACCAAACATGTTAGATTTAAACAAGGCCCACTTACTCCTGGGTATTGAGGGGGTAAGGGGGAGAGGGAGGGGGCAGAGTGGGTGGTAAGGGAGGGGATGGGAGCAGGGGAGAGAAATGACCCAAGCCTTGTATGTACATATGAATAATAAAATAAAATAAAATAAACAAGGCCCACTTAGAATTGCTAGGACTGACAGTGATGACTTGAAATGCACTCAAAAACAAAGTAGTGCAGAGCGAAAGACCCCAGGTTACTCTGTATATGAACCAAACAGCTTTACAACCAATATCATCCAAAAAGTTACTTACTCCAAAGAATAATGTGATGTCTGGTATCAATTTGAACATGATGGTCAAAAAATTGTACACTGTGAAGTGTAAGAAAATAGCATCTATGGGCTTCTTCAGATAAGGTTGGAATAAAAAGATGTACATATATAATATGAAGAGCAGGGAGTTCCCCACAAGCCCAATGAAACATTCAGTTATGAGCAAAATGCCAAAGATGACATCACTTTGAAACATTATTCTAGTGATGTTTCATGTCTTCAATTAGGCAAGACATGCATCCACTACACATACTTGTTTATGTTGCTAAATCATAAATGATGTGCACATGGAAGACTGTAGGAATGAAGAGTTTAGGAAGATGAGATGGTGTTCAAATGTCCAACACTTCTGTATTTCAGGATCAGGTGTGGCATTTGTGAGAATTGTTTCATGGCATTTTTTAGAACTATAATGAAAAATGTGAAAAATGGCAAAAAATTAATGCCAACATTGTTCTGTTTAAAGTATCACCCTGAATATGTATATTCTATATTCCAGATGCACAGCATTTTCCAGTATTAGATTACATTCTTGCTGTAAACTCATTTTTTCAGTATTAAGATCTTGCTATAGAATACCATATTTCTAATATATTAATACTATGACATCCATTTCAACTTTATTTTTATATTTTTTATATCACAAAGTTTAAAGATAATGATTATTTTAAACACTCATCTAATAATGTTGGTAATATTGCAGAATAAGAAAGCTACCAATTCCTTTACTCCCATCACAATAAACATACTGCACCCATAGACAGAAAACGTCTACTCAGAATTTTCAGGAATCATTTAAGTGCTAAATCCAGGTAGAGCACAAGAAGCAGGTGGATGGTTTTGAGTATACAGATCTAAAACCAGGTGATGATAGCAGTGCTGGATTCATGTGTTGGAAAAGTCCCATTCGTCAATGACATTGTTCAAACAGCTTTGGCCTTGAGCCTGAAACCAAATCTTACAGCCAAGAAGCCTAGGATGAACCATGAGCTCTGGTGCCTTGATAGAAAACTTTGTCTACCAATCAGCATTGGTACTAGCACTGTATCTGAAAGTTATCTTGAAACTTAGCTGCTGATAAATTTAATATTACTTTCACAAAGACCCATGGAGATAATTACCCATACCTCTGAGCCCAACATTTACCCATTCTTATGACCTTCTCTGATGGCCCTGTCAGTGTCCATCCACAGATGGATTGAAGGCCCTGTATCTGCTTCTCATCCTCTCTGTACAAATGGGGAACTGTGTTTCCTGACCAGGGATCTGCTGAGAGATGTGTCCACCTGACCCAATACCCCATCCAATATCACATCCTGAATGTGACAATCTACACCTTCTTGTTACTGAAGCTGGCATTCCATAATTTAGGACACTTCTCAGAGGCATGCCCATCTGGAAAGCCATGTCTGGAATCTGGTCCCAGGACACAGGGTGACTTTCCCACACATCTCATTTACCCTACATAGCATATCCCTTTTGGGGACCCAGGCTGGGAAACCCTGCTGATCATGGAGCCTTTGTGAATCTCTCATGTAAAAGCTAGAATTGTTCAATGATACAAATCAATATGCATGAGACATCAGTAAACAGAATGAAAAATAAACCCCATGTGATCACTTTAATAGATGCAGAAAACTCATTTGATAAAATTCAATATCTATTCATTATAATAACTCTCAATAAAACCTAGGTAAATAAGACATGTTCTTCAGCTAAAGGCTACAGAGAGCAATAAACCACAGCTGACATCATGTTAAAATGAGAAAAGTGAAAGTTGCTGTCTACATTCCGATGCAAGACAATCATGCACACATATATGCCTTTGTCAGCATACTAGTAGAGTTCATCCCAGAATAATCAGAGAAGGGAACAAAACAGTGCTATCAAAATTAGAAAAAATGAAGCTTAATGGTTACTATATGAAAAGGTTGTTCCATGTGAAATGCCCTGAGAAATCACTGCAAATCAGGTAGAAAATTGCAAGGTATAAAATGAAGAGTCAAAATTCAGTAGCATACCTATAAGGCTATAGTGAACTTCTGAAAAAAAATACCAGTTTTACTGATGACAACTACACAAAATATCTAGAAATAAATTTAACCAGCTAAGTTCTCCTACTTATGAGAACTCTAACAAAACAACTATAAAACATTGATGAAAGAACCTGAACAGATGCCCTATGTTCATGGATTGGAAGTCTCATCATAGTTTAGTTGCCTAGTATACTCAATTATGGAAAATGTCCATACTGAAGATTCATGCAATTTCTGTTGAAACACAGGTGACATTATTACAGCAATAGGAAAAGCAAGCTTAAAATTTATATGCAACCACTAAAGACCCTGAATATCCAATACATTCTTGAGCACAAAGAAGTAAACTTCAGATGCTACACTACCTCACTTCAAGCTACACAGCACAGTAATAACTACCAAATGAACATGGTACTGGCACAAATACAAGCATATAGTCCAAACGAATAGAGTAGAGACCAGAGAAGGAGGCATAGACATCTAGAACCAACTATTTTAACAATCGTGCTCAGAATTCACACTGAGAAAACAGTCTCTTCAATAAATGGTGCTGGGAAAATTGAATTGCCCATGCAGAGATAAGAATCTTAACCCTCATCTTATAAAACAGACTTGAAATTGATTGAAGACTTAAATGTAAAATCCAAAATGATGAAAATGCTAGAAGAAAACACTGTGTAGAGTCTTCCTAACATTAGACTGAGAGGGATTTTTTTAAAGATCCCAAAACAACAGATAACCAAGTCAAAAATATACTAATACGATATCATCAAACTCAAAAGCATCTTTACAAGTAATGAGAAAAAACCTCAGACTGATGAGACAACTTAGAAAAAGAAAAAAAAATATTTTCCAACTCTTTATCAGCATGCAGCTAAAAATCCTAAAAATGAAAATAAAAACCACAGATTTCACTCCAGTTAGAGTGGCTGTTAGAAAAACAGTGTAAAATAAGTGATGGTAATGATGGGGAGAAGAGAGCAATTATGGACTAATGGTGACAAAGTAAATTAGTACAGCCATTATGGAGGAGATTTCTAATAATACTAAAATGATATATATCATGATAGAGCTATCCAACCTCTGAGGATATATCCAAAAGAAACGAAATTAGCCCATCATTTTTATTGCAATAATATTCACAATAACCATGTTCTTTGGACAAGGATATACAAGTTATTGACCTCCCCTACAAGAACCTCCAAACAAGTTCTCAAGGATAGAAATTTACACATAGTGTCTCTCATGTCTGGAATCTGAACATTTGATATCACTGTAGAAGAAAGAGCAATAGTGATTTCAAGAGGCTGGGAAATGTAGGGGGAGGGGATAGAGCATGGTGGCCAACAGTTACCAAAATACAGTTGAATAGGAGTCAGAAGTTCTAGCGTTGGGCAGCACAATGGTTTGACTACAGCTTGCGATTAAAGACAATACTTTTGAGAAGAGATACAGGAGAAGAGCTCCAAGTCTCCAAATATAAGGACTCCATAAGGGGTTGGAAATGCTAAAGTACTCTGATCTCCTCATTATATCATGGTGTCCCCACAAATATGTACATATTATTGTGTTAATTAAAAACAAAAATAAAAATCATTAGCATAATGTTATATCATTCACTATCAGTGAAATCAGCAGAGCCACCAGAAGCTATCTGTATAAAGCTTTCCATACATGAATTAATATTTACCAAAATATGGGAGGGAATGAGGTAAGTGGTGAGCATTATGAATTGTGAACAAGACAGACACAGAAAGACATACACCACACATTTTCACTCATGTAAGGAAAACAAAATGTCAATCTTGTAGAATTATGAAATGTGAGAGTGGTCATTATTGATGGGAATGGGGTAAAGGGAGGGGACAGAATTAAATAAAGGTGAATTATATGGAATTGGAAGGGTTCTGGGGGAAATCAAAGGGGTAGATCTCAGAGTTGGTGAAGTGTGGATGGATGATCAATGCCTTCTCTCTGCTTGTATGGAAATATCACAGAGAATACCATTAAACTACACAATCAATATGTTTTGATAAGTATCACTTAGAGATCTCAAACTGTGAGGAATATGTTCTTTTCAGAACTTTTGCTTGAGGCATTAACAAAAGCTCAATATATCCACCAGAATTTTCTTGGGTAAAAGGACTCTAGACAGGAATTAGAATTTACAAAATGAGAGCAGCCACAGTGAAAGACTAGAAAAGAGGCAATTCAGAAAACTAGAGAAATCTCTAACCAGAAGAGCTTTGGATAAGTGGTAAACCAGGAGCTCCTGGAGAATTAATTCATGGAAGTGCCTGGGTTAGCTATTAAACCTGAAGAAGCTGCATCCAGGACCATTGCTGAGATGTTAATATGAAACTATGGCTGTTGAGAGCTGTGTCAGTTACTGGGTCAAATACAACATTGGCAGAAAGAACAGATTCCAGTAATTTACAATACAAGGTAGTGACAACAATGTAGAATGACCTATTACATATTTTGTGAATCATGGAAGAGAGAAGTTCGATGTTTCCAAACACAAAGACATGATAAGGATTTTGGACTGCTAATCACATTGATTTGATCAGAACATATTCTACTACAGGTGTCAACTCAAAGTGGATTAAGGATCTTAACATAAGATCTGAAACTTTGAAGCTCATGTAGGAAAGAGCAGGGAATAACCTGGAATTAAAAGGCATAGGAAATGACGTCCTTAATAGAACTACGATGTCTCAGAAACTAGAAAAAAGATTGTCAAATGGGATTACATGAAATAAAAAGCTTCTGCACAACAAAAGAAACGGTGTCTAAATGGAGGAGGCTACTTATAGAATGAGAGAAAATCTTGCCAATGCTGTACATTTCAAAGGGCCTGATAACCAGAATATGAGACAGTTAAAAAAATATACTTCCAAAAACTCAATGACACAATAAATAAATGGACAAAAGAACAGAACACAGTTTTTTCAAAGGAAGAAGTCTAAGTGGCTGAAAAACACATGAAGAAGTGCTCAACATCCCTGACCATAAAGGAAATGGAAATCAAAACCGTGTTAAGGTTTCAGCTTACTCTTGTTAGACTGGCTACCATCATGAACACAATCAACAACAAATGTTGATGTGGATGTGTGGAAAAAGGAACCCTCATATACTGTTGGGGGGAATGTAAATTAGT